GGACTTTAAAGAGTTAATCCCCTGAAAGCTGCAGACTTCTGTGCACGTGTGCTGTTTTTTTATTTTTCCTAGAGAGAGGGCTTATAGTTTATTGGGGTTTTCAGATGAGTTCATGATCTCCCATGGGTCTGAAGCTAAGAAGTTCATGTTATGAATGCACTTGCAGTTTGGTCTGGCTGGGGTATTGGGGCCAAAGGATGACCCTAGGGCTACCCACCTTCATAAGTAGAGTGGGGTTCTGGAGGCTAAAGGAGTTCAGAAGCAGAGGATCTCACACTAGCTGGGAGGAAGAAAGGATAGTGGCAGAACCATCAGGCTCACTGCTTTTGGGGCAGTGTGCAGGAGCACTGCTTTGGGGGGGCCTTGGAGGCCCTCTCCTGAGGACTTGTGCCCTGTATATCCCAGCCCTGCAGCTCACCTGGGAGCTGGGCCAGGGACTGGGCACAAAGACCAGAATTTGGAAGTCATGGCCGCTCCTCACTGTGAGGTCCTAATGGAACCAAGGAGTATGGGTCTCCTGACATAGGCGACAGGCAGGTTGGGAGAGCTAGAATAAAGGGAGGAAAAGGAGCAGGAGCCTGATGATGATCACTCTGGCATGGAAGGAAACTCTTCAAGGTTGTAAAGTCAGGAAGGAGAACTGCTTCTTGCTGCAAAATAGCCCCAAGGAAGGTGGGGGGAGCTCTATCAATGGGGTTGCTCACAACTGGACAGGCGAGAGCCCCAGGAACACATGTTGGAGGGAGCGAGCCTTCCTTGGCAGGGCCTCTGGGTGGGATGACCTCATCCCTTCCCGTCTCAGCGACTGAGGCTTTATTATTCCAGCCTGTAGGTAGACATTACGCTATGCCAAGCCTAAAGGTTAGTGGAAGAGCTGCTTTCACCCCGTGGGTTCTCATGGCTCCCTGGCAGGAGGAGCTGACAAGCAGGGTCCCTTATTGCCTAGCCTGAGAAAGCCTCTAGCCAAAGTAATGGGACATTCTTCCTCAAAATTCCCATCTCTCCACAGCCAGTGTCTTCCTGATACTTAGCGGAAGGCAGAGGCAGGCAGTGTGCTTCCTTTTCTGTCCCATGAGCACCCCAATAGAGAATTTCCACCTGCCTATCTGGTGTGCTCTTCAAAGGCAGCCTCTAGAGTGGAGGCTGCCAGAAATGTGAGAGTGACTGGCCTTCTGATGCAGAGCTGAAGTACACAATGTAGGTGTTTCTTAAAGGTACTTCTCGAAAGTTCCGAGAGCTAGAGGGGTCAGCAGGGTGTGGCTCTGAGATCAGGGTATAAATGATAGAGTCTAATTATGATTGAGAGGACTCTAGCAAAGTTGGCTGATAACTCCGAGAGGACTTTCTGCTCTGCCCCTGGGGCAAAAAGTCTCAGATTTTCTTTAGTCAGCAGAAGCCTGTGTATCTTCTTTCACACATACTCACCACAGCTTGGGCTATACTAGGAGCCTGATAGGTCTCAGTCTTAACCAAAGCCTATAGATACCCCATTATCAATCTTGTCTGTAACTTAATGCTCTTTCACAACCAGGAACTTGATTTATAGAGTTTTAAAACAGATTCCTTGCGTTTTCTTTTTTCTGTTTTGTTTTGTTGGAAATATAGAAACTACCTCCAAACCACTCCCAGCTACTGTCTTTTGTCCCTGCATTTTCTTCCAGAAGCATGATGCTTAAAAATTCTTCTGGGGGCCATATGGTGTGATAGTTAAGGCAGCTGGATCCTATATGGTGCAATTCTAGTCCTGAACCCAGTGGCTTGAAAAACAGGCTGGTCACATGTGTGTGTGTGCCCAAAATCCCTAAAGAAGAAAATGGAGAAGGGATTGCAGCATGGCCATCCCCCATGGTGGGGTGGGGGATGTTTCTCACTTTCTCTCTCTCTCTCTCTCTTTCTCTCTCTCTTTCCCCCTGGCAAGTGTATGCACCTTCTGGCAAGTTAAAAAAAATAAAGAATTCTTCTGGAGTCTTCATTCCTCTAAATCAAGAGTTCTTTACCTGAGTTCATGGACTTTAAAGAGTTAATCCCCTGAAAGCTGCAGACTTCTGTGCACGTGTGCTGTTTTTTTATTTTTCCTAGAGAGAGGGCTTATAGTTTATTGGGGTTTTCAGATGAGTTCATGATCTCCCATGGGTCTGAAGCTAAGAAGTTCATGTTATGAATGCACTTGCAGTTTGGTCTGGCTGGGGTATTGGGGCCAAAGGATGACCCTAGGGCTACCCACCTTCATAAGTAGAGTGGGGTTCTGGAGGCTAAAGGAGTTCAGAAGCAGAGGATCTCACACTAGCTGGGAGGAAGAAAGGATAGTGGCAGAACCATCAGGCTCACTGCTTTTGGGGCAGTGTGCAGGAGCACTGCTTTGGGGGGGCCTTGGAGGCCCTCTCCTGAGGACTTGTGCCCTGTATATCCCAGCCCTGCAGCTCACCTGGGAGCTGGGCCAGGGACTGGGCACAAAGACCAGAATTTGGAAGTCATGGCCGCTCCTCACTGTGAGGTCCTAATGGAACCAAGGAGTATGGGTCTCCTGACATAGGCGACAGGCAGGTTGGGAGAGCTAGAATAAAGGGAGGAAAAGGAGCAGGAGCCTGATGATGATCACTCTGGCATGGAAGGAAACTCTTCAAGGTTGTAAAGTCAGGAAGGAGAACTGCTTCTTGCTGCAAAATAGCCCCAAGGAAGGTGGGGGGAGCTCTATCAATGGGGTTGCTCACAACTGGACAGGCGAGAGCCCCAGGAACACATGTTGGAGGGAGCGAGCCTTCCTTGGCAGGGCCTCTGGGTGGGATGACCTCATCCCTTCCCGTCTCAGCGACTGAGGCTTTATTATTCCAGCCTGTAGGTAGACATTACGCTATGCCAAGCCTAAAGGTTAGTGGAAGAGCTGCTTTCACCCCGTGGGTTCTCATGGCTCCCTGGCAGGAGGAGCTGACAAGCAGGGTCCCTTATTGCCTAGCCTGAGAAAGCCTCTAGCCAAAGTAATGGGACATTCTTCCTCAAAATTCCCATCTCTCCACAGCCAGTGTCTTCCTGATACTTAGCGGAAGGCAGAGGCAGGCAGTGTGCTTCCTTTTCTGTCCCATGAGCACCCCAATAGAGAATTTCCACCTGCCTATCTGGTGTGCTCTTCAAAGGCAGCCTCTAGAGTGGAGGCTGCAAGAAAATACCCAGTAAACTGGCAGCACCGACATCTAAGCTCTGCAGCGAATAGCTTCATCCCTGCCTTAAAGACCTCCCAAGCTTGGTTTCCACAACAGACTAAGCAGATTCCCGAGGAATCCGAGGCAGCTGGCAGCTCCGAGTGGCTCCCTTACACCTTCCCCCTTCCCCCAGGTACTCCCTGTCAGGATAAGGTCCTGCTCACAGATTCACTAATTGCAGCCTCTTGGAATCAATCCAGGATGCCCAGGGGAACCTGCCCAAGACTGAAATACCCACTTAATTAGGAGTGGGCATACAGCTGGAATGCTGACTTTTTTTTTTTTTTTTTGTAATGAAGGTTCTTTTTTCACCTGAACTTTGAGGTAATTTGAAAGGTGGGAGTAAAGAAGGGGAGGGAGTTTGCCAGCTCATCCACAGGGGAGGGGTCAGAGATAGCGCCCTCCCTTCTGGAAAACTCTGTAAACTCTGGAGAAGAGAGGGTGGTGTTGGGAGTACCTTAAATGTTTTTCTTACCAGTTGCCACTTCAGAGTGTGCTACAGGCCCTAAATCCCTGGTTTAGGATCCCTGAGTTGCACTGAGCCCCTCTACCCTCACTTCTTACCCACAGAGGTCACTTCCTTTGTCCTAGAGCCCTGGACACTAAGTATTTGATTGTGTGGGACTCACAACCTCAGTCTTATTCCCCTCCCTGAGAGAAAGTTGCTCAGGAATTTTAACATAGAGCCTAGACCACACTCATCCCAGGATGTGCAAGTGCTGGGAACAGGAGCCACGAGACTCATATGCTCTGTTCCTCTGGTCAGAGACCCCAGTCAGCCTCTCCTGGAATAGACGCATTGCTGGCTTTCGAAATGGTAAACACTAGTTATCACCTGACTCCTCTCTGGGAAAAGATGGGACATAAATAAGTAAAATGGATGGGCCGTCACCACGTACACTTATACAACCTGAAGTTGTAACTTTTTGGTCACCACAGATATGTGGGCTGTGTCCGATGTGGTCAGTGCTATGCATCTGGACACTAAGAGGTAATCTTGATGACTCCAGCCCAGTGCTTCTCAGCAGGACCACCTGGGGGTACTGGCTAGCATGTGGTTTCCTGGGCCTCCTGCAGCCTCCTGCAGCCTCCTGATTGAAACCTCAGGATGGAGAGAATTATCCCTGGTAGAATTTGTTTCTGTTTGTCTCAATTGCCTTCTTTTCGCAATTCCTCCTGCATTTGATTTGTACTGAGCCATGATGGAGCATGGGGACGTCACACTTAACATTTGTCATGGCCTATTTCCACATTTTAAACTCTGTCTCACAGAGACAGTGAGCAGCTTGAAATTAAGAATACATCTCCTGCTCCAGATGCCCTCCCGAAGCCTGACCTGGCATTGGCAGGTGCTGGATACCCAGAGCACCTTTTTCCATAGCCACTTCCGTCTGTGTGTATGTGCTTATGTGTGAAGAGCAGCTCATCTAGCAATGAGGCTGGGTTTCCAGCTGTGGCTTACTCAGGAGAACTAAACCCAGCCAGTTTACTTGAGCCCCATCCTGTACAAGGACATTCGTGGCTATGGTAGACAGTGAGGCAGGTTCATGTAAGGAGGATCACCCACTTGGGAGTCCCTGAGGAGAGAATGGTCCAGTCTTTAGACTCAAGTTGGAGAGGATGATGTCTTGATGCTGCCATAGGTAGAGCAGCTCAGGCAGACCTGTGACTTAGAAGAATATTTGGACCTGGCTACTGGCAGTTCCAGCATCTGACTGCCTGGGAGGGAATTGCAGTGGGCCTGATGGGTCCAGTAGGATCCTGAGTGGTGTTCTCTGGGTGGGGTGTCTGTCCATGGGCCAGGTTCTCAGAGCCAGACCCCAGCCACACTCTGGAGGAACGTGTGGTGCACTGGTACTTCAGCCAGTTGGACAGCAACAGTAGCAGTGACATCAACAAGCGTGAGATGAAGCCCTTCAAGCGCTATGTGAAGAAGAAAGCCAAGCCCAAGAAATGTGCCCGGCGTTTTACCGACTACTGCGACCTGAACAAGGACAAGGTCATCTCATTACCTGAGCTAAAAGGCTGCCTGGGTGTGAGCAAAGAAGGTGAGTGCTCTTCCTGGGCTCCTGGCCCTTCAATACTTGCCCCTCCTACACACAAAAAAACAAGGACTCTCCCAGTAAATGAGATCCAAGATACTCACTTAGGCAATAACTATTTACTGGGAGTGTACTATTCCCATGCTAGATGCCTGAAACAGTGTAGGAATTGAGTGATAAGATTCCTATCCTTATATAGCCTGCCAAGGAGACAGATATTAAATAAGTACTCACATACAGTATGATTAAGTGCTGTGAGAGTGTATTAGTTAGTGCAGGCAAGGCAGCTGTAACAAGTAGCCCCACATATGTCATAACTCAACACAGTGGGAAAGTTTTTGTCTTGACATCTTCAGCATATTCCAGGTTGTGGTGTGTGTGTAGGTGAAGGAGTAGGAGTGAGGTTTGCTCCATGTAGTCATTCTGGGATCCAGGCTGAGAGTAACTCTGCCATCATGTGGCTTCCAAGGTCATCCTGAGAGGGTCATCCAGAATGAGTAAACATAGGACAGTACCTGTGAAGAAGTGTTACAAGTCAGTCCTGGGAATGACATATATTACTTCTCATATTTCACGGTCTGAAACTCAGTCACTAGGTCAGACTCAATAGTAGAGAGACTGGAAACCCAAGAAGAAGAGAAGAGCATGGATCTGGTGAATATCTAATCATTCTGTCACAGTAGAACAAGTGCAGAGTGTTGGAGGGACATATTTAGGGGAACCTAAATCACTGAGGGGGCCGATATCCTTGGAAAACTTTGTGATGGGAGTGAAGTCTAAACCAGGACTCAGTAAACCATGGCTAGTACATCTGATCTAGTCCATGCCCTGTTTTTGTACAGTCTGTGAAGGACTTTTGCATTTTCATGGACTGTAATTTTTTAAAAAGAAAAATATATGATAGGGACTGTCCACATCCCACAAAACCTAAAATATTTACTATCTAATCTTTTATGGATAAATTAGCCAACCTCTGCTCTAACCTCCTACCCAATACCTGAGGCATGGGTAGGAGATGGCTGAGCTGAGATCGGAA